GCCGGTTCGCGCTCCTGTGAGACGGCCAGAACGACGCGGCAACGAAGATCTTCTAGCTGCGCTACATCACCGATCCCTTCCACTCCAAGGGGCACGTCTGGAAGTGGTGTTTGGAGAACTGCGCGCCGACTTTGCCCGGCAACGCCGCGCGGCTGGCTGGCGTCGGTGCCAATAAGTGCGAGCATCGATTTCGTGACCTCGGGTACTACAGGGAGAACGTCAACGCCATGGGCGAGGACTTCGTGCGTTTCTTCTTGACAGAATTGTTGGATTTACGAAACGTAGATTGGCTCCGACGCGTGAGATCAGCTCCGTAGAGACATGTTTCACTTGTCCTTGATGTTTTCCAGAGATGCATTCATGCGCCGATACCTGGTAGCAGCCGGCCGCATGCTATATTCGTACACCCGGGGGGGCGGGCCCGGGCCTTCAAGGGCAAATGATCCATGCATCCCGTATCCCCACCAGCCCATCCAGAAAAGAAGCTTATCCAGAAAAGGCCCACCGGATGCCCCCAAGACGCCCCCACTGCACTCTGGCTGCGTCTCTCTCGTTTGCTTTCGCGCGGGCATCTGAGCACGCGCGAACTTGCCGTCCTGTCCGCCCTTGTCATCATTGCTGGCCCGTGTCCGGGGATAGTGGCAGCTATTGCTTGCGCTGAGCAGCATGCGGCTGCGGGTTTTTAGGTTGCCACGTCATGATGTTGTCTACCCTCTTTCCTCTTTCTCCTCCTCCTCCGCTCCGCCTCCTCCCCTCCTCCTGTCGCCTCGTTTTCAATGCCCATGCGAACATCATTTGGGGGATAAGGAGGTTGGGGTGGGGGAAGGGGGCCAAGTGGAGCTCAAGCGTAGCATGGGACCTCATAGCATAGCATCGCATAGACTAGCATCGCATAGAATAGCATCACATAGCATAGCTTGTCATTGCGCGGCATAGCATTATCAACGCCAGGGGACACCCCCCTGGACACCCGCGGGGCAGTCGCGGGCCACCGCGAGACACCACGGGCAATCCACGGGAAATCCACGGGACACGCGCGGGACACCTGCGGGACATCGCCGGTCAACTGTGAGGGGGCAACATTGATCCCAGCATTCCTCTCGCCTTCCCACGCGGCCTCGACTCGCACGCGCGACACGAGCACGAAACCGATACCGACTTCCCCGTGGGAGGCTTTCCGTTCCACGCGATACCCCCCCCAACCTCCAATCATGCCGCATCCTTTCAAGGTTCCTTTCAATGACGTGTGCAAGTTTGCAGCCACCTTTCACTATTCCTTCTCACGCTGCGGCGCTGCCTTGCGGTGCTGATGCGCAGTCATCCGGGCTAGGGTCATTCACTCTTACTGTCGAAAAGTAATCCATTCACAGAAGGGCGCTCCCATTGCCTTCATTCCCTCCCCCAAGCCCACCCCCGGGAGCGCGTCGCTGGCGACGACAGCGTCGTTGTCGTCGCCGTCGTCGCCTTCGTGGTCTCCGTCGTGTTTTTCTTTGTCGTCGTCGTAGTCGTCGTGGTCGTCGTCGTTGTCCAACCATTATCGTCGCCACGGTTGGGCGTGGCTCGGCAAGTTGGCCGGCATTCGCACTACGAGGTTGTCTTGCGGATCGTTTCTCAGCGGAGTCGCACGCGTTCTAAAGAGGAAACGCTCCAGGCAAGGAGGGCGTTGAATCGGAGGAGGAGGAGGTGAAACAGAAGAGCGGAGAGCAGAAGGGGGACGACGACGACGAGGACACATGGGAGTACGACGGGAAGGAGGAGGAGGAGGAAGAGGAGGAGGAGGAGGAGGAGGAGGAGGAGGAGGAGGGGTAGCAGGACGAGGAGGACGAGATGGGGGAGGGGCAACAGAAGCGCGCAGGCCGAGAAAGGCTCCCTCCTCCTCGCCCTCCTCTTCCCAGCCATCTTCCTACCCCAATGTACCGAAGACGCCTACGGCGAATCACCGCCGCCCCCTGCCTTTTTGGAAGCGCCGATGTGGCCGAACGTAGAGGCCAGACCTGCCAAGCCATCGGACCATGTGTTCCCCGAATCGGTTTGGAAAGCCTTCGGGGGACACGTGGGCATCTTGAAGGTCATCTTGGCCGTCTTGGAGGCCTCTTGGGCGATTTTTCGGCGATCTTTGGGGGCTCTTGGGCCGTCTCGGGCCGTCGCACCGCCGAAAAAAAGGACATGTCAAAATCAGTCGAAAACCTTAGGACAATCAAGGTTTTTTGCCTTCTCTGGCCTTCCTGGAGGCCCTCTTGGGGGCCTCTTGGGCCGTCTTGGGCCAGCTTCGAGCCAACTTCGGCCATCTTGGTGGGTTCCTCTGACGCCGTCGGGGGCCGTCTTGGGGGCCGTTCTGGGCCAACGGGGGGCCCTCTTGGGGCGCTTCTGGGCCGTCTTGGGGGCCATCTTGGGCGTCTTCGAGGCCATCTTGGGCGTGTTGGAGGCCTCTTGGGCCGTCCTGGGGCTCTCTTGGAGCCATCTTGGAGGCCACTTGGGCCGTCCTGGGGCCCTCTTGGGGGCCTCTTGGGCGATCTTGGGGGCCTCTTGGGCCGTCTTGAGCCGTCGGAATGTCGCGCAGAAGCAAATTCCCAAATCCTTCAAACACCTAAGGAAAATCAATGATGTTTGCCTCTTCGGGTCCTCCTGGAGGACCTCTTGGAGGCCTCTTGGGCCGTTTGGGAGGCCTCTGGGGGGCCTCTTGGGCCGTCTTGGACTCTCTTGGGCCATCTTGGAAGCATCTTAAAGCCATCTTAGCCGTCTTGGAGGCCCTCCTTGCCGTCTTGGAGACATCTTGGAGGCCATCTTGGAGCCGTCTTGACAGAAAAAGTAAGGAATTGAGGTCCGTGGCAATCCTCCCGGGACCCCAGCGGGACGCGCCGGAGCCCCAGGGGGAGCTCTTTTGGAAAAAGAACCAAAACCAAAACCTATATGGTCTGGCACGCCAGGCACCCCTGCGATGAATCGACAGGGGGCGGCGGATCTTGTTGCCTGCGGCAAGTCCCGCCACCGTGCCAGTCCAGCATGCTCGGCGGCCATCGCTCGAGGGGACACCAGAGGCCGTACTTGCAAGATGAACAACGTGGTAACGATGATGAAGATGACGAGGATCATGCGGGTGTTAATTCTGCTGACGACGACGACGGCGACGACGACGATGATGATCACGATGATGATCACGATGATGATCACGATGATGATGATGATGATGATGATGATGATGATGATGATGATGATGATGATGATGATGATGATGATGATGATGATGATGATGATGATGATGATGATGATGATGATGATGATGACGATGACGATGACGATGACGATGACGATGACGATGACGATGACAATGACGATGATAGTGATGATGATGATGATGATGATGGTCGAGATGATGATGACGGCGACGACGCTGATGCAGGATGATGCTGATGGTGACGATTGTGATCATGATGGTGATGATGGGGCTGATGATGGTGATGATGTTCTTTCGGAGGGCGACGACGAGGATGGCGGTGAGGATGATGATGATGATGGCGTTGATCATGGTGATAATGATAATATTGATGATGATGATGATGATGATGATGATGTGGATTATGACGATGATGATGATGATGATGCTGATGAGACTCATGAGAATGGTGATGATGATGATGGTGGTGGTGATGATGATGATGATGGATGGTAGTGTTGACGATGATGACGATAATAATGATGATGATGGTGATGATTACGATGACGACGACGATAATGATGCTGATGATGATGATGATGATGATGATGATGATGATGATGATGATGATGATGATGATGATGATGATGATGATGATGATGATGATGATGATGCTGATGGTGCTGCTGATGATGATGATGATGATGATGATGATGATGATGATGATGATGATGATGATGATGATGATGATGATGATGATGATGATGCTGCTGAAATGGATGCAAAGGAAGAGGAGGAGGAGGAGGACGACGACGACGACGAATAGGAAAGCCGCCACATGTGGTACCTTCCGTAATAATTTACGCAGGGGCCGCATGGACCTCATTTTCTTCCGTATTGGGGCTGCCCTGGGCTCCTGAGGGGCAGTCTTGGGGGTCCCTTGGGGTCTTCTTGGAACGTCTTGAGGCCCTCTTGGGCTCTATGAGCCTTTGGGACTGTCTGGGGGGTCTTTGGGAGCCGTCGTGGGGCCGTGTTGGGCCGTCCAGGGGTCCTCTTAGGCCGTCTTGGGCCTCTCCGGAGGCTGTTAAGGGCCAGTTTGAGGCTCTCTTACGTCTGTCCTGGGCTCTCCAGGAGCTCCCTTTGACTGTCTTGAGACCGTCTTGGAGGTCTCTTGGGCTATCTGAAAGCCTTCTTGGGCCGTCGTGGGGCCATCCTCGAGGTTTCTTGGGCCGTCTTGCACCTACGGAGAATTCCTGATTTTCGCCTCTTTGGGTCCGCTGGAGGCTCCCTTGGAGTCCTCTTGGGCCGTCTTGGAGGCCTCTTGGGTGATCATGAAGCTATCTGTGGCTATCTTGGGGCTATCTTGTGCCGTCTTGGAGGCATATTGGGCAATCTTGGCGGTCTTGGTGGCCTCCCAGGTCCGTCTTGGAAACCATCTTGGACATATCTTGGCCTGGTGGCGCCGACAGAGCCTCGGAAAGAGCGCTCCTCCTCATCCTCCTCTTCCTCGTCGCCTTCCTACCTCTATGTATATTTCCTTCTCCATTCTCTTTCCTTCCCTGCTTCCATCCTCCGCCGCCTCCTCCTCCCTGGGCTCCTCCCCCGGCTCCCCGGACTCCCCGGGACTCCCCATTCAGATTCCCCCCGAAATCCCCGGACCTCCCGGACCCCCCCGACTTCCCAGACTCCGGATTCCCTGGACTCCCCGGACTCCCCGCATTTCCCGGACCGCCCAGACTCCCTGGACTCCCCAGACTCCCCGGACTCCCCGGACTCCCCGGACTCCCCGTACTCCCCGGACTCCCCGGACTCCCCGGACTCCCCGGACTCCCCGGACTCGACCCAGATGCGCACCGCTTTCCACGATTGTGTCTGGAGGAGTCTGGTGGGGGGCGAAAGTGGCATGAGGCGCCACCCGACCCAGCCAGAGATCTGGACGTGCGTCCTCCCGCATAGACTCCATAGACTCCTCCTCCCCCTCCTCCTCCTAGAAGCAGCGCTCAGCCCGCGGCCACCCCGCGGGCCCCCGCCGGCCAGCTTCCGATGCGCGAGGGACGAGCGCAGGGCGCCCGCGGCGGGGCGATGCAGCCGCTCCCCAAGGCGGCAGAGGGGCCACGCGCGAGCCCGCCCCCCACGACTTCTGAGGGGCGCCCGTCGACGCCAGAAACATAAACTTTCGACGTTCCGCGCGGATTTCTTGGATCTGCGCTAGGGACCCTTGGCGGCGCCTCCGGCGCCGCCCCTGGCGCGCTCCGCGCGCTAGAGAGAAGGCCCAGCGCAAATCCAAGATATCCGCGCGGACCGTCGACAATTGTTATGTGTTTCTCCTAGGTGGTCCGCTTCCTCGAAGGGTACCCACAGTCGTCCCCGCTGAGCGGCGCGTCCATTCCGGCCTCGGCGTTGGTCCTGTCCAAGGACGGTGTGTTGGTGGCGCCTCCAGTGTACATGACTCCGCTCGCCAGGGCGGCCATGGCGACACCCCAGGCGACTGCGACGTTGCCGATTGGGTCTCGGGGCCCTGCAGCGTCGAGTGCGACGACAAGTGCCACGCCGACCCATACGCCCGCGGATGTCGAGAAGCGCCCGAGTGAGCTGTTCTCGCACTTTGACCTGGACAATGATGGCAGCATCAACCGAGAGGAGTTCTTGGCCGTCTTGGAGCGCTGGCACATCCATATTTCGCCTGAGCAGGTGGATGCCCTGATGAAGGCGTTGGACACTGATGGAGACGGGCGCATCTCGGCGGCAGAATTCTCTAAGGTGTTGCAGTCGGCGATGGACACTGACTCGAAGGTGTGCGTCTCGATGGTGATTCCATCAACGTCAAGTGTGGATGTGCAGGGCACTGAAGCAGATCTACTCACGCGTCGCAATGAAGTCTTGCAATTTTTTGCGCAGAGGTTTGGTGGCTCAACGGCCAAAGCCGCGCATCAGGGAGCATATCAGGCCTACAACGGCGATCTGGTCTATGAGCAGGGCATCGTGGTGGACACCTTCACTACGCCAGTCAAGTGGAAGGAGTCAGCATCGCGTATTCGAAAGCAAGTGCAACTGTGGTGCAGCGCGTGGGGCCAGGAGTGTATCGCATTGATAGTGAACGGTTCGATGGAGTTTGTAGTTCCGCCTGAAAATTCGGCCAGTCCAGAGCAAATTCTCCATTCTATGATGCGGCACCTTGACACATATGCGCAGTGGGGCGTTCTCGATTGAGCCTCGCACGCTCCGGTTGCACTCTATGGTAGTATTTGTTTGGTGGGCATCAATCAAGGGCATCTGGTCACGGACATATCAAAGATGTGTAACCAGTGACGTTGTCCAAGGACACCTTTTCAAAGATACCGTTGTGATCCCTATGATAATCGCCATCATCGCAAACGCCCTTGGCCTACACTATCGCCTTCTACGATTCGGGGTAGCAGTGGAGCTGACTTATACGTGGCGCGATGCATTGATTATGGCGCAGGAATAGGCTCCTGCGTTTGCCGACCAGATGGGTGCGATAGGGTTGAGCGTGAGAGGAGTACCAGAAATATCTCTCGCATGCCTGTGTGAGTATACATTAGCGGGGGACCGGGTCCGGGGGCCGGGGGCCAGAGCGTCGTTTTCTCTTTTTGTTACGGGGTTTCGGCGACCCGGGGTCAACAGGGCCCCAAGAGGCTGCAGGGGGGCCCCAGGAGGCCGCAGCGATGGCTCCAGACGCCTTTCAAGACGACTCCCATGACGCCAAGAAGGCCCCCGAAGGCCCCGAAGACGCTCCAAGAGGCACCCCGAGAGAGCCCCATTAAGCAACAACCGTTGATTTCCTATCGGGCAACTGATATTTTTGGCGTGTTCGCCTTATGGGTTTCCACTGCGTCCAAGACGGCCCAAGAGGCCCCCAAGATTGCCCCACAGGCTCCCAAGAGGGCTCCAAGACGACCCCAAGAGGGTCCCAAGACGGCCCGAGAAGCCCCCAAGACAGCCCAAGAGAGCCCCAGGACGAGCCCCAGCGGGGCCCCAGAAGTGCACAACCATATTCAAGTTCCAAGCTTTCGGCCCCAGAGGCTCCCAGGAGGCCCCAAGAGGTCCTCAGGAGGCCCCCAGAGGCCCCCTAGAGGCCCCAAGAGGCCCCCAAGAGAGCCCAAAGCGGATCCCAAGAGGCACTCCAATAGAGCCCCAAATAAACAAACATCCTCGGTTTTCTACGGGAAAACTGATATGTTTGGCGTGTTCGCCTTTTGGGCTTCCACTGCGTCCAAGACGGCCGAAGAGGCACCCGAGCCGGTCGAGGATGCCCCCAAGAGGGCTCCAAGACGGCCCACGAGGGGGCCAAGACGGCCCACGAGACGCCTAAACCGCCCAAGAACGCCCCAAGTTGGCGCCCAAGACGGGGACGAGGAACCGAAAATGCAAGCTATTTGGCCCAAGAGGCCCCCAGGAGACTCTAAGAGGCTCCAAGAAGCGCCCAAGAAGCCCCAAGATGCCCCCAAGAGACCCGCAAAAACACAACAAGAGGCCCCGAACACACCCCAAGGGACACCGCAATAGAGCTCCTAATAAGCAAACGTCGTCGATATCCTATAGGAACAACTGATATTTTTGGCGCGTTCGCCTTGTGGGTTTCCACTGCGTCCAAGACGGCCCAAGAGGCCCCTAAGACTGCCCCGCAGGCCCCTAAGAGGGCTCCAAGACGACCCCAAGAGGGTCTTGGCACCCTCGTGGGCCGTTTTGGAGCCCTCTTGGGGACATCCTCGACCGGTTCGGGGGCTTCTTGGGCCGTCTTGGACGCAGTGGAGGCTCAAAAGGCGAACACGCCAAAAACAGCAGTCTCCCGATAAGAAATCGACAATCTTTGCTTATTGGGGCTCTATTGCGGTGTCCCTTGGGGTGTGTTCGGGGCCTCTTGTTGTGTTTTTGCGGGTCTCTTGGGGGCATCTTGGGGCTTCTTGGGCGCTTCTTGGAGCCTCTTAGGGTCTCCTGGGGGCCTCTTGGGCCACATGGCTTGCATTTTCGGTTCCTCGTCCCCGTCTTGGGCGCCAACTTGGGGCGTTCTCGGGCGGTTTAGGCGTCGCGTGGGCCGTTTTGGCCACCTCGTGGGCCGTCTTGGGGCCCTCTTGGGGGCATCCTCGACCGGCTCGGGTGCCTCTTCGGCCGTCTGGGACGCAGTGGAAGCCCAAAAGGCGAACACGCCAAAAACAACAGTTTCCCGATCGGAAATCGACGATATTTTTTTTGGCTATTGGGGTGCCTCTTGGGGGGGTCTTCGGGGCCTCTTTTGGTATTTTTTCTGGTCTCATGGGGGCCTCTTGGGGCTTCTTGGGCGCTTCTTGGAGCCTCTTGAGGTCTCCTGGTGGCCTCTTGGGCCAACAGGCGCGAATTTTCGGTTCCTCGTCCCCATCTTGGGCGCCGACTCGGGGCCTTCTTAGGCGGTTTGGGCGCCTCGTGGGCCGTCTTGGCCCCCTCGTGGGCCCTCTTGGGGCCCTCTTGGGGGCATTCTCGACCGGCTCGGGTGCCTCTTGGGCCGTCTAGGACGCAGTGGAAGCCCAAAAGGCGAACACGCCATAAACAGCAGGTTCCCGATCGGACATCGACGGTATTTCCCAAACGTCCCCCGTCGCAACCCAATTTGCCCTCCCTTGGCTCCGGGATCCACTTTGGGGTCTTGGGGTGATTCTTTCGGCCTGAAGAGGGCTCCGTGTTGGTTCAGGAGGGCGCCCGCTGGCCGCCAAGATGGCCCTTTAGCGGTCCAAGACGCTCCAAGATGTTTCAAGGCGGCCCCCAGGGGCCACAAGATGCCCCAATGGAACTCCCAAAGGCCCTCCCAGATGACCCCAGAGAGCCACCAACGCAAAAGCCATTCAGGTTTCTCCATATTCAGTAAACCTCATGCTCGTCTCCTTCGGATGGCTTCGGGAGAGCTTCACATGGCGCCGCGGCTCGAGACGGCCCCACAACTTCGAAGAAGAGCCCAAGAGGAGCCCAAGCGGGCCCCAAGGCCTTCAAGGCAGCCCAAACAGGAAGATCCACAAGAGACCCGTACATTTCAAGCCAGCCCACTTCATATTGAACATCTTCCCACGCCGGCCCCTCCCGGTACCGCTCCCCCGGCCTTTCCGGGGAGCCTCCACAGCGTCCCAGGAGGGTCCAAAGACGCCTCCCAGAAGCCCCCAGAATTCGAAAGAATGATCCAAGACGCTTCCGAGAAGCCCAAGTCAGCCTTCCGACGGCTCTCGAGGCTCCCAGGTGGCCCCCAAGAGACCCCAAGAGAGGTCCGAGAGGCGTCCCAGGACGTCTCGAAGAGGCCCAAATCGTAGATGTTCATTGTTTTTTCAATGTTTTTAGCTTCTCGCGCTTTCGAGCTTCAATTGTCCAAGAGCGCCGAAGAGGCTCCCAAGACCGCCCCAAGATCACCCAAGAGACCCTCACGACGGCCCCAAGATGGGCCAAGAAGGCTCCAAGACTGCCGAAGAGGCGCCCAGGACAGCCCCAGACCACCCCAGAACAGGCCCAAGATGGGCCCAAGAGCGGGAGCAGGAGGTTTCCAGAGACCTCCGAGAGGCTTTTGGGACCACCCAGAGGCCCCCAACACACCCCCGATCCCTGAGAGGCCCAGAAAGACCCCGACGAGGCCCAAGAACAGCCCAAGAGAGCCGCGAGAGCCGTCCCGAGAGAGCCCAAAGAGGGTAAAACCGTTGATGTCCCATGGTTTTTCTAGTGTCCCTCGCCTTCTCATGTTTTCCCGCTTCCAACCCTCGAGAATCGATGATTTTGAACATAATTATCCGGCAAAGCAACCTAACAGCGATGTGTTTAGAAGCATATCTGAAAGCATTCCCCTTAAGATTCAGATGAAAATCCAGTTTGATTCTGCTGTTCTCGCAGTCGTAGTCGCATTCGCGATGACAGTCGCAGCGGCAACGGCAGTCGCAGTCACAGCCTCAGCCTCAAGCTCCTCCTCTATCCTCCACCTCTTTTCGCTGCTCATCCTCCTCCTCCTCCTCCTCTCTTCCTCCTGCTCGTCCTCGTTCTCGTCCTCCTCGTCTTGCTCGTCCTCCTCCTCCTGGTGCTATCTCCTCCTCCTCCTCCTCCTCCTCCTCCTCCTCCTCCTCCTCCTCCTCCTCCTCCTGGTGGTCCTCGTTCTCCTCCTCCTGGTGCTCTCCCCCCCCCTCCTCCTCCTCGTCCTCCTCCTCCTCCTCCTCGTCCTCCTCCTCCTCTTCCTCCTCCTCCTCCTCCTCCTCCTCCTTCTCCTCCTCTTCCTCATCCTCCTCCTGGTAGTCCTCCCCCTCCCCTCCTCCTCCTCCTCCTCCTCCTCTTCCTGGTCGCCCTCGTTCTCGTCCTCCTCGTCTTGCTCGTCCTCCTCCTCGTGATGTTCTCTCCCCCTCCTCCTCCTCCTCCTCCTCCTCCCTCCTCCTCCTCCTCCTGGTGGTCCTCGTTCTCCTCCTCCTGGTACTCTCCCCCCCCCTCCTCCTCCTCCTCCTCGTCCTCGTCCTCCTCCTCCTCCTCCTCCTCTTCCTCCTCCTCCTCCTCCTCCTCCTCCTCCTCCTGGTACTCCTCCCCCTCCCCTCCTCCTCCTCCTCCTCCTCTTCCTGGTCGTCCTCCTCCTCCTGGTCGTCCTCCTCCTCTTGCTCGTCCTCCTCCTCCCTCTGCTCGTCCTTCTTCTCCTGCTCCTCCTGCTCCTCGTCCTGCTCCTGCTCGTCCTCGTCCTCCTGGTCTTGCTCGTCCTCCTCCTCGTCGTGCTCTTGCCCCTGCTGAAAATGTGGCCCAGGAATGGGAGTTCTGGGAAGTCGAAGAGCACGAAGTTGCCTACAGTTGGCTACGGGCATTCAAAATGTGGCCCGGGAATGGAGTTCTGGGAACTCGAAGAGCACGAAGTGGCCTACAGTTGGCTCCGGGCATTCAAAATGTGGCCCGGGAATGGAGTTCTGGGAACTCGAAGAGCACGAAGTGGCCTACAGTTGGCTCCGGGCATCCAAAATGTGGCCCGGGAATGGAATTTTGGGAACTCGAAGAGCACGAAGTGTGTGACTGTTGCATCCGGTTATTCTAAATGTGGCCCGGGAATGGCGTTCTGGGAACTCGAAGAGCACGAAGTGTGTGACTGTTGCATCCGTTTATTCTAAATGTGGCCCGGGAATGGCGTTCTGGGATCTCGAAGAGCACGAAGTGTGTGACTGTTGCATCCGGTTATTCAGAATGAGCCTGGGAATGGAGTTCTGGGAACTCGAAGAGCACGAAGTGTGTGACTGTTGGTGAAAAACGAGCTCGGCACAGTGCCGCCCGGCAGCTCCCAACACCTGCCCGGACCCCCCTGTGGAGTGATCTGTGAGCTCTTTTGACACTACTAGAAACCTATCAGTCTTCGCTGTTAGGTAAAAACTCACTTCCCGATTTTTGCTAGTTTTTTTCAAAATGGAATCTCCTACTCGGGGTCCCACACATCCTGACATCTGGCCGGTAACGGGGGCCTCACGGCTTCCGCGGGGCTCCCAGGAGACCCCAGACGACCGAGGACGCCCACTACGACATCAGAACCCCCAGAACGTAAATGACCGGCCCAACACTCCGCGCATGCCGAGACACCCT